TTGTATTCTATTCGTAACGCTCCCTTTTGTACCGTTCAAAAAATTATGCATGAAATTACCTTCAGACGAAAAGGGGCGAGTTTTGAATGCCGATTTGTCAAAGCTAATTATGGACATCTTCAAAACACGCACAAATACCAGTGATTTCATTGTCGCTTCACTTCTGCTGCTAGATGATGAAAAAACATGTGGAAACGTGCGACAAACGCTGGAAAAAGAAGATTTTTGCAAAGAGAAATTCATCGTTTCATTGAGTACCACTGGTCGGTCGTTTCAAGCGCTAATTTTGATATTTTAGTTATAATTAGTTTGAACTACCGTAAATTAATAACGGTCAAAATAGGAGCGTCTCTTTCTCCTCGTGGGCCCCGTATTTCGCTTTCTCCAATTCGGAAATAATTGAGTGGCTAAATTCTGTCAAAAATTTTGTTCTGTCCTTGACTATCGATGACTTTCGATGGTTACTTGAAAAGTGCATTGAAAGAAATGTTGCTTCGGAGCATGATGCAGTTTTAATTTGCTGTAAAAATGTCATAGATTTTATGGGTTCTTGTCCCGTACATCTAAGTCACCGATTCGAAAATGAGAATAGACGCCAAATCTCTGTTTTGATTCACATATCAAACCAAAACAATGTTTTTTAGGCAATTTTCTTTAACAGTTTTTATTAATCTCTCAATTCTTCCTTTTTTCTCAGTTTTCTTTAGAATTTTTTTTCTCTGTTTGTATGTTAACACATAAGTCGTAATTTCAATAATGAAGCAAAGAGCAAAAAAAGAACGATAGGGCAAAAGGAAGATGTAGTAATTTAGAGTTGTGGTAACTTTTCACAGTAAAAGAACCACAGATCTTTTTAAGTTAGCACTTCGCAGTCATCATTTCAAAGGATTTAGATCGTTAAACTATGAAACTTATTGCTTAAATGCATTCGGGCAATAAATTTCACACTTTGGCCAATTTAAATTGTGAGAAATCTAATTCACATATACGAGCATTCAGATATAATCTTCATGAATTTCTGTCGCATCCGGGATCTGTGAATTTATGATTCTTAGCTTAATCTTCTTCATTGTTTTGTGTTTTTTTACCTTATGTCATGTTTTTCTTAATTATTTTTTTGCTCGTTTTACTTGACCTCAAGCATAATGAATTTTTTAGGCATTGAATATGTTGCGAAATTGGCCGAATGGATGCTCCGACACACAAATGCACAGGTTATTATATTTTGAGGAGAAATATTTTTGATATTACACCTCTGTTTCTTGTTGGATGCGCATACTTTACCGAATTTTCGAATCACCAATAGTCTTTTTTATCCTATTGTTTTATTACAAAGAACTTTCTGGCCACACGCTTTGATTTGTTTTATTACAGGAATGGAATGATATGCGAAATATGTTTTATGCATTATTTGCTGTACTCTTCTGGCCTGATTATGAGGCACGAAAATGTGCTGGCGATATCCTGGGGAATTGTATCACCGATAAAGGCATCGCATTCTGTGTTTCAGCTTTGGATTCATTATTCAATTATATCACATCCGGACTGGCGCAGCAGGTTTGAAAGCACTTTTTCCCTCAGATTCTCCTTCCTATGGTTGTACTGGGTTTTGTTAACAGTTCTAATTCCAGATGGCTCACCTTCAGGCC